AAGAGCGGGCCTGATGGCCCGAGTCTCGCCACGTAAAATAAGGCAAATTCAATTCAATTCAATAGTGTTATGTCACTGACCGGAATCCATTTACTTTTGTGCAAGTAAGGTATTTCTAGTTATTTGATAACGCGCGGTCCCCTAAACGCGCTTACCTGCCCTATCAGTCTCTTTCCTTACCTGTGTTGGTTCGGTCCCCAATTGACATGTAGAATTAGAACGCAAATTTCACGAGAAAAGATGAAGGGATTATATTGTCCGCAATTTACATACGGCCACGTTCAAGTCTCGTCCAGTGAATGCAATAAGGCTTCTCCGTCTGTGTGATTTGCGACGTGGCAGCGTCACCCGAGCCGCGCCACCAGCGTCGCGACGCCCCGCGCTACCCGGCGCATCCGTCCGGCAATTAATCGCGGATTTGGGATGCGATTTAAAGCCACGCCCCCTTTTCCCGCGCCGGGCTGCACTGCGCGCTGCCTCCGCGCGCCCACCTGCCTCGCGTCATAAAGCGATCGCTCGCCGCGTCCGCTTGCACTCGCGCCTTGAACCCTTGCCAGTGGCTGCCACACGCTTCCAAAGTGTCATATTTTCGAAATGAACGGCGGTTGAAGAAAAACATCCTCGCCCGGGGCTTATCAATTTATCGGGTTGCTGTTTGCGGCGTGAAATAAGTAGCGTCCCTTTCTGGAGTGCTGTTATAAAGAACTCAGCTAATTTTTTTTTCTCAGCTTTTCTTTAAAAGCATGTGCGTCATCGCATGTTATGTAGGGTATATTTTAAATGAGCCGTACATTTTGTATGCATCTGTAACTTCTGCCTAATTATCAAACCTGAAAATCTCTGCTTTATTGCATGTCAAACAAGCTCAAGGAAAGAAGGAAAATATGAATGCTTTTAGTGGGAAATATGAAGTTGTCATTTAAATGTATATTTTATATGTTGTATTCGTACAAAACAAATTCCTTTATACTAGAAATAGAGGAGAACAAAGTATTTTAAAAAACGAACGAGTTTTTAATTATTTTAATATTTGGTATATTTCCAGACGTATGGCTAATGAATTGAACAGAAGCAAAAAAAAGCATAACAGAAATGGAGATAGCTCAACAAAAGAGTGGAAGCTTCACGTAGCGTAAAATGGAATGTGATTACTGATTCATGTCTTTGAAACTGTGATTGCAGATATGCTTTGGTAGGAAATAAACTACACTTGAAAGGAAAGAATCCCTTTTTTCTTATTTGATCAGCATCTCTTTCCTTCCGCTCGGTGGCGAAACGAAACTGCCTGCGCGGACGCCATCCTGCTGCACTCCCCCCCATCGACGGAAGCCAAAATCGCGAAAGCGGCGCACGGTGGTCCACGTCAAAAAGATGAATACAACACAAATAAACTCGGTGGGTTCCACATAAACATTGTGGAAGTCCGTTATGTATAGATTATCGGGAGGAAAAGAAATAATCTCCCACAAACAATATTTATTAACTAAACAATTAAATTAAAGCATGTTTGTAGGTTATTTGCATTCATATACCAAGCTACTTGGATGCACTGAAGATGATGGTTAAAAACCTTGAAACATGTGCTGAAATTTATTTGTTTGGTAAATTAATATTGTTTGTGGGAGGTTAAGTTTTTTCCTCCCATTATACTACACAAAAAGTAAATAAGGAAGAGGGGATATTTACAACTTTTATAAAACCAATTATATGAAAATATACTAGACTTTTTTTTCTTTTTTATAGCTAAGTGTGCTAATTAATGCATCACTAATTTAATGTTTATTATTGTAAGAAATCTGCAAAATATTTATCTGTAGTTTCTTAAAGGGCATAAAATGACTATAATAATACAGCAATCTATTAGTAAAAGACACTTGTTCAATGTGTGATTTTATTATATGTGTTCAGAGTGCATATTTCTACTCATGACATTCAAATATCTATGACACAAAAGTAAACCTTAACGTTGCAAATATTTTAGGAATGAACGAGACAAACAACAAACTCTTGTTGTTATTTTTACTTTCTCGTCCTTACGAAGGCACTTCCTAAGATGAAAAACGTATGTAATCTTCTGCTCGAAAACGGAAAATTTCGGCAGAAAAATCTCTTACTGTCGGGCCCCCCTATGAACAAAAAATGGGATAAATCTTGATATGTCATGTTATGCGACATTATAATTATTCTTTTGTAAAATATTTATTATAAATATTAAACTGTTAAAATATTATTTTTGTTATATATCTGGTATTTTAAATGATAATGATTGGTCTTAGAGCAACTTCGAAGCATCCAGAACCGTAGGTTGCTGTAGGAGCTCAGTGTAAGCATCATGTGCTTGTGACGTAATGGTACGGCGTACAATTCATGTATGCCATATTAACATCATTCGATCTATAATCATTAAGCTCTCATTATTATCATTCGCACTTCATTATTACCCTTGACAGTGCTCGTACAGTGGTAGACAATGCCAAACCATTGGTGAGATCATCTGCACAGGAAAAGACGTAAAAGCGATAACTCATCTCTCGCATACACTCCCCAACCGATGGAACACATCGTCATCATCATCATCATCATCATCCAAATCAGTGTCGTAATCATCATTGTAATAAAAAAATTTTAAAATTTTTATTTTTTTAATTTAATTTTTAAATTTTTAAATTTAAAAACGACTAGCTGTTTGATCTTTCGCTTTGAGTTGGGCCCACTGTGCGGTGCGGTGCGACGACGGCCTGGAAATCGCATCCGGCAGCGCGGGAACCCTAGCGCCTTTCATCTGCGCGGATTAATCTCGAATTAGGGCCCCCTTCCCCGGCGGAGGAGAAGGGGGGCAGGCGGTTTTCTCAAATCAACCGCGAGGACCCGCAGCCCGCATCAAAGGAGCCCGCGCCGCCGCCGTATAGTGAGCTGACGAGGAGCTGGCTGGGGAGGGGGACGGCGAAAGGGGGCGGGGAACTTCTGCAGGTGGCATGGAGCTCCACGCACGGCTCGGAGCTTTTCAAGCGTTAACATATTTCCCGTGCACCGGTCGCGTTTGAAAACATTTCCGCTGTTTTGGAAATATGTGTAAAGCAGCGTCACGTCTAACCGCCCCTAAAATACCTAAAGAAATGCCAATATCAAGCACATTCTCTTCGTGTTTTGGTTGATTTAAACAAAAAATTGCAGTAATGAAAAATGTGAATGATTTTTTTTTTCAATTGAATGGATTCGACTTCGGAGTTCATGCATGTTAAACAGCGTATGATTATATTTTACAAATATAGCAACAGGTTGGTAACTTGGATATTGAAGTTAAAATCAGAAAGTGGATCAAAAGTCAAAAATTTGTGGTTCTTCAAGCAAGTTGCTTGGAAAACATATTTCCATCATGATGCAGGGAATCATTGCTAATTCTAGGACTAAATTAATTTACTTTTTAATTACGAATTAATACAAATGGTAAAATGATAATAAACTAACAAATAATAACTGGTATGCATATAATTCATTTTCATTTCAACGTTTGGAGAACTTTGCAATATATTTATAAAAAAGTCATAGTGAAAATTCTATGTTTGTAAATGATGAATAAACTGCAAATTCTTTTAGTTATCTTAATCAATAGTGATGGAAGATCTAAAGTAAAATATGTTTTTAAAGAATGTCATTGGTTTCGGAGCTTCATTTTCTCGAGGTTCTGCTGAAACCTGCTGCAGCAGCTGAAAAGACATGCTTAAAAGCCAACGAGGTACTCGTGTTATAAATAACAGGAGCATTACAGAGAATAAAAAAGCGCGTGTTGTTAAAAATGTAATTAAGTTAATTTTACACGTGAAATTCATTTTCAATGCATTAAACGTATTCGGCCTTTGTTAGTGTGTGAAGTACCAGCTTTACATGTATGATTTTATATTGAAAATTCAGTATTGTGCATAAACATTCGAATTTTTTGTAACATGAGGTCACAATTAGTTATTATAAAGCAATTAATATGCTAGGCTAAATACACTATAAAATACTTGAAAGGCAATAATTGTGTTTCTGCTCTACGAATTTAATTTAATGAATGGGTTGTGGTTCTTTATTTTTATATCCAACCTGTAGTAGCAATTTTGCACACCGTAGAGTCACCGTATTACAAACGTATGGCAGTTTGTATACAAAAAAGTATTGAAATCTTTCTTTACAATGTCCAATATATTTTTTTTTTGTTTTATTTCAGGTAAGACAGTCGGGAACGATAACACAAATACATGCCTGTTGAGTAAGTAAATGAAATGCATTTTGTTTGAACACATCTTATTTCACTGTAAATCTATCTTGTTCTTTTACATACTATGTACATCATATACTATGTATTATATTTTATGCACGTTCATTACTTAAAATAATGAATAGTATCAGTTAGAATACTTTGATGTACCTATTTTTCAGTTGATTATATTTAGTTGCGTTACTATATTAAAAAGAACGATCCTTCTCGGGTTTGTAAGTCGTAATGAATGAACTTCTTGTTTTGCATGTGGTTTGTAATATGATTTAAAATCTTGGACGTTTTCTGCGCTCAAATTAGAAGAAAGCAATGAAGTTTGATGGAAGAAATAATTTAAAGAACAAATTTTTATATCTGAAACAATTTTCATGACAAACACTAAATCAAAACTATCTCTTTTAAGTGTTAAATGAAAGTGAAAAGACGAATGATCCCGCAATGTTATGACCGATAAATTTAGTTTATGGAATTTGTATTATTTGTTTTACTAGAAGTCGTAGTTGACGGTAGAGCATCAATTCAAAATAATTTCCTTCGAAGCAGGTTAAGAAAATAATTATAACAAGAAATAGCTTGAAATATTTGAGTTCCAGCGTTTTTACTAATGAAACCAGTGGCAATTCCATACATTTATTTACCCAGTTTTAAATAGCTCACTTCGGTACATTTAAAACTGCCACCCGACGGACTTTCCCAGCTGAAATTGGCGATCGGAAGCGTGGAAGGGCCTTCGGCCATCTGCAGGGGGCGTCGAAGGGCGGCGGCGCGGAGTGCAAAGCTTTCCCTCCCCTCCCCTCGCCCTCCCGCGGGGAGGCAGCGAAGACGGCCGCGGCGGGGCCCGGCCGAGGACAAAGCCGCTCCGGCCGAGTAAATGAGTTTGCACCGCCGCCGGCCGGGCCAGGCCTGGCGGGGATGGGAGGGGAGGGGAGGGCGCCCGAGAGGCGTCTCGCGGCGCGAATGGACGCCCGCGGCGGCGGCGCCTCCGGGCGAGGGGGCGGGGCGAAGCCTCGGGAGGTCGAGCGGCTGTGCGGGCCAATGGCGCGGGGATGGGGGCGCCGCAACACACTCGACAAGAAGGACGAAAGCGGGCGGAATGTACGGGAGAGATTTTATTCATTTACTTGTTTTTTTTATTCGTGTTTGCTTATTTTTTATTTTGTAATTAGTATATTATTTTTTATTTCTTATTTATTTTGGTGTATTTTTTTATTTATTTATTTTTATTTCTCTAAACAACAATGTACTGACAGGCGCGTGACAAGGAATATAATATGCTCCGGTCAAAAGTGCAATCCACCGCTAAGCAAGTGGTACTGAAATTCCAGATGCTTTACAAATCATCTGCTACTCGCAAGATCTTTTAATATGGGCCAGTAGTAGGTCACATTTTCAATAAATAATTGGGAGGTTGAAAACTTAGTACAGAAGTGTAACTAGAATAGAATTTAGTAAGCATGTGGCAAAATAGGCTGTTAGGGTTTACGGAATTAGGCTTATGGGGTGTATGGTGTAAATGTAAATAACAACCTACGGAATCTAATTCTTGATTAATCTGTTTGGTAAAGGCAATGTAGTTCATAAGAAAGTATAAGAATATAGTTGTTAAAAATTAATGGGAGAAAACACTTCTACCAATCGTAATTCGAGTTTTCGGAAAAACATATCGTGTAGTCAGTACGTACTAGATTATTTATTTTAAAAAAATATCATATTATATATTAGTAGTGCTACATATTATTATATTATTTACCATTTTCATATGCCAAATATCAAAATGTTTATTCAGTATTTTGTTTACATTGCGTTAAAAGTACTTATTGTAATAAATATTTTGATAAATATTCATTGAAATGAGAGAAGAATCGTGCCGTTTTTATGGTGTGAATTTCCGAGCCTAATTTTTTTTGCCTCACTTGACAAAATTCAAAAGGCAACTGTCTAAATGTAATGAATATTGGATAGTCGATCCGTTTCGTCACATTTTTATTCTGTGGGTATGATTTCAATAATTAGCATTTATTCGTTATAATACGATTAATGCCATTAATGCCAAAACAACAATTTGAATATATTACAATGTTTCATCAATGTCTAGTTAATTAATTATTACGTCAAAAACCAAAGAAAATAAATGAAAGTAAAATATTTTATTTGTACTGCAATGTACACAAATATTTTAATTTGTTATTCAAACAACGATGATTTTCATTCCACAATGAATTATTTTTTGTTGCAAATCATAATTACAAGGAAATTGATTGTACCAATGTTGGGAGAACCAAGGTTAGCAAAGTTATGTCGACAGAATGGTAGCCGTGGCAGAGATGTAACGAGAGAGGTCAGGCAATGTGCGATCGGCTGTAGGTCGCGGGAAGTGTGGCGGTAGGTCTAGCACCATATATATAGTAAATATTATAGACAGTTAGAACGTCAGAGGTTGGAAGTACAGCAAAGTCCTCTGGGCGGTGGAGAAGTGTGTAAGAGACAAGAAAGGTGGAAGAGAGAAATAAATAATTAGAATAAAAAGGCGGAGAGGAAGTGAAGAAGTAGATGACAAGACGGGGGGCGGTAAAATCGGAGTGAAAGGAGGCCCAGAACCGATAGGGGTGACTGAAGCGGCGTGAGAATCACACGGCAAATGTTGAGAGGGCCGGGTGTGGGCCAGGGGCGGGCCATGAAGACACCAAAGAGGGCGAGAGCATTCCGGCGACGAGGATCACACAGACGCCGCGGACAAAGTTGGGGCGGGGGGGGGCGGCTCGGGCGACGCCGCAGCGGAGCGGGGAGACAGCGGGGCGGCAAAAGCAGAGGGAAACCCCCGGCGCTGAGGCGGGCGGCGCGCGCGGCGGAGGCGGCGGCGCGGCCCTAAGGAGATTATGATGCCTCTCCCTCGAGGGGCGGTGGCCGGCGGGGCGGCGCGGCCGCGATGGGTCAACAACGACCCGATCGCCTGCCGGTCAGCCGTCGCCATTGCTTCCGCCAGGAGAGATCCGGCGCCGATTGCTCGCGGCTGCTGCCCCTCCGGAGGGGCACTGCCCGAAATAAGAAAAAAGGACGGACGATTGTTATAAGAAAAGAAATGACAGGCTGTTTAGGAAGATTTTGTAGGGTCTGCCGCTTTTAGGAGAATTTCCTGAATTTTTGAATACTATGTTTTGGGTTAGTGTTGGTTATCTTTCCGACAAAGAGATACACCTAATAGTTTTACTAAGAAAGAGTGAGGGGAACATAAGCATATTAAAATAGCTAAGGTCGGCAAGACTATTGTACTATAAAAGTCTGATTAAATAATTTCGAAAACGCTTAAAATAATTGTTTCATAATATTAATCAATCTTGTCGATGATAGGCTGTAATGCTAAAGATTCAATCTCTGTTCAATCTTCTTTGAATATTGACAGTTTAGTATATTCACAAATAGACGTACCTTAAAAATTGTTATATTGAGTGTGTGTTCAAACAGATTGCATTGCTGACAGATGAATCTTTATTGCTTCATCTTTTTAAACATTCTCCATTTTCTGTTTGCATTTCTCATTTTTTTTAAAAAATATTCCGATGACGTGAATGCTATCGTAAAGCTCATTGACTTTTCTTGAATGCACGAAATGCTTTATAATGTAATTAATTTTCATCTAATTTTGTCAAAAATATATTTTATACTTACAATAGCTCAAGGATTGATGAACTCCTAATATACTACTCTATCCGTTTTAATTTTCAAATTTGTAATGTTTAGTGTAAATAACTCAATAATTTTTACATTCATCAGTACAAAAATATAAACTGATAAACCCATTTTAAATGAAATACGCGTCCATGTGACATTGGTTCTGCTCCAAGTGTATGTGTTTTACGCAAAATAGTTCATACAGTAACAAAAATGTAATAATCCTCTTAAAATTTGAAGGATGTGCTGGAACGATCTTCTAGATAACTATACGAAAATACTGCTATCAGACTGCTGTTTTTTATAACTTTTTCTGTAATAAACTAATAGAAGGTTATGTTCATATTTCTTTGTGCATTTAAGAATGGATAAAAAGGAAAATATAGCAGTGAATTTGGTTTATTCCCTTCTCTGAATACTGGAAAGAAGGACGCGCGAATCGCTAGTGATCATTGGGAGATGGCGTGTTCGAACCCCGCCTTTGTGGCTTCGTAATCTGAGAGGGTCGCGCAGGGCTTCGGAAGGGCGCGGCAGGGCTTCGACGTGCGTGCGAGCAGAGCGCGACGCTAAGTTTGGAGATTACTTCTGAGAGCGAAAACTGGACGAGGTCTTACTTTCTCTACAAGCGAGAAAGGTCAAAACCTTCAAAATACAGGTGATGATTACGCTGCGGATTTTTGTCTACTTGCCTATTTTATTCCTTAAACGACAAACGCAATATTTTAGGTTACGTATCCATTTTGAGGTATTAAGAATATTATATGCGAAGTCATTTGTGTTAATAAATAGTGAATTGTGGTTAATACTGAAAAAAATAGTGTTTATGAATTTGACTAATAAATGCCTATTTAGTATAGTCGAAAAAAGTATCTATGTTTTCTATAAATGTCATAACATGTTGCGCTTCATTTACGAAAAAAATCATTAGTTAACCCTACCTTGTTTCCAATTTTATCCAGATGACTCTGGCAAAGTTGAACAAATATCTGATAATTCTTTGTAAATATGACAATTGCTTCAAGTGCGTACACGATCCCTACGTCATGTACGTCTTACCATGAGAGCGTTAGTGACTCGAAACCTGTAGAAAATAGGCGTAGTGTTCTTTGTTTTTGTTTCGTGTGCTCAGGAGATTCAGTTTTTTTATCAAGTTGAGATTTTTTAAACGTCTGTGTGAACATAAGCATATTTAATTGCGCTTTTGTTAGAATGGAGGAGTTTTGACCACCTTATGAACATCCTTTTACTCACAAGCCAGAAGATACTAACACTTTACTATGGGCAATTTGGAGCTATATTCAA